TTAGTTATCACATCCATCACCATATATATGAGAACATTTAAGTTCTACTCTAAGCAAATTTCAATTACATAATGTAGTTATCACTACAGTTACCATGTTATATATTAGGTCCTCCGACCTTATTCATCTTAAAGGTGAAAGTTCATTACTGAATCGTATGACTTATATGTACCAGGCGCTGGGAACTGGAGGTCATAGGGAGAGGTTGGTAAACGTTACGAACCTTTAAGAATTAAATTATCTCTCATTTGCTAATTGGCATAGTCACTAAGAAATTAACTGGAATATTTACTGCTTTATTTAGTGCTATCACTAATATTTTTAGTAGTTACTTTTATCATCATTGCAGGATATGTTTTATTGACTCGAGGAAGGGATGGAGGGAGGGAGGAAGGGACAGAAATATTGATGTGAGACATATCTACCTCTTCCCTCCTGTATGTGCCCGACCAGGGAAGGAACACCCAACGTAAATATGTGTCCAGACCAGGAAGCAAAACCCTCAGCCTTTTGGTGTCAGAGGAGAGCTCCAACTACCTGAGTCACCTGGCCAGTGCTATCACAGTATTTTGAAGGAATCACCAATGATCTAGGTGTGTTTTAATTTAAACAGAAATGACAGTTCCTGCCCTTTGGAAAGTTCTACTTCAGTTTTTGTGTCCATGGAATAGAAAATGTACAGGCTTGCCCATCTTCCAACATCTGAGAGCCCGATCTTGTTCATTTGGGTAATTCTCTCAAATGCAAATCTATCATTTAACCATTTCAGCTCCACCAGACTTCTCCCTAAGACTACATGTCACATTAAAATGCTATGAAAGCCCTAGCACAGTGGTTCTCAACCTTCTGGCCCTTTAAATACAGTTCCTCATGTTGTGACCCAACAATAAAGTTATTTTCGTTGCTACTACATAACTGTTATGTTGCTACTGTTATGAATCGTAATGTAAATATCTGATATGCAGGATGGTCTTAGGCGACCCCTTGAAAGGGTCGTTCGACCGCCAAAGGGGTCTCGACCCACAGGTTGAGAACCACTGCCCTAGCCGGTTTGGCTCAGTAGTGTCAGCCTGCAGACTGAAGGAAGGGTCCTGGGTTCACTACTGCATGGACCTTGGTTACAGGCTGGATTCCTAGCCCTGGTTGGGACACATGTGGGAGGCAACCAATTGGTATCTCTCACATAGATGTTTCCTTCTCTGTCTCTCCCCCTCCCTTCCATTCTCTCTAAATCAATGGAAAGCCCCGGCCGGTGTGGCTAAGTGGATAGAAGGTTGGCCTGCGGACTGAAGGGTACCGGGTTTGATTCCGGTCAAGGGCACATGCCCAGGTTGCGGGCTCAATCCCCAGGGTGGGGCGTGCAGGAGGCAGCCAATCAATGATTCTCTCTCATCATTGATGTTTCTACCTCTCTCTTCCTTTCCCTTCCTCTCTGAAATCAATAAAAATATAAATTTTTAAAAAATCAATGGAAAAAGATCCCCGGATGAGAATTAACAAAATAAAACAAAAACGTTAAGAAAATGCTAGACATTTATATATAGTACCTACATAAAAATGATAAAAACCTGTCCTGAACAAGGAGTGCATATAATGTAAATTTTAAAAAAATATGCCCCACAGATGATTGGCAGTAGACAAGTAGTCTCTGTAAAGCTAAGACTAAGGTATTTGTTACATTATTATCAGAAATAACCAAACCATGGCTTCAGAATAATAGTTAACCTAATTTATTGTACCCCTTCAACCAGCTCTACCTACCCAGATTTTTGGTTTAAATAATTTATTCTGGCAAACTATAATTTTTCATTAGGGGATAGTTTTTTAAATATATTTTTTAATTGGTTTTAGAGAAAAACGGAGAGGGAGAATCATTGTCTGCCTCCTACACGCTCTATACTGGGGATCCAGCCTGCAACTGGGGCATGTACCCTGACCAGGAATCGAACCTTGAACTCCTGGTTCATAGGGCAACCACTACACCATGCTTAATAGGCCATTAGGGGACAGTTTTAACATAGAATATCTCAGAACAGCTCATTTAAGAGTTTACTAGGCATAAGCCGACTGCAGGATCTCTCAAATGTGGAATCTTCTATCTACTTAATAATTTTGGAAACTTAATCTTGTTAAATTCTGACAAGTTGAGTTTATATAAGCACTTCACTTTTAGTAGCATAAACACATTTATTTAAAAAACTTCACTTAAGTGTCATGTTTTTTGGCTACATCTGATGTGTTCAAAAAAAGGGAGAAATAGGCTGACACATAAAATATCACCTAGCACAATACCTGTTCACATACAGTAGGTATTAGAATATGTTTGGCAATTGAAAAAAGTCAAAATGAGAACTTAAAACTGGGTTTCTTCAAAGCAACCCAAATATTCCTAAACTACATGTAATACACAATCAAGTAATCCATCATTCAGTGTGTTCTTATGATTTGTATTGCATTACTTGAAGCATAAAACTGTGTAATACTTGAAGCATAAAAACTAGTTTAATAGCTTACTGTAAAAGTAACAATGAAGCACATGATAATCACTACATAAAAAGATTACAGATTTATAAATAGAATCTTGTTCTAATAATAATGACTGCCTCAGGCAGTCACTGAAAAATTTAACTATTATACTCCCCTTAGAATTTAATTTTGAGTACAAAAGTTACACTAGCTTCCACATAATTAGGGAAAAAAATTATTGAAAGTTTTGATATAAAGACAATGAAGCACGTGATAATCACTACATAAAAATATTACAGATTTATAAATAGAATCTTGTTCTAATAATAATGACTACCTCAGGCAGTCACTGAAAAATTTAACTATTATACTCCCCTTAGAATTTAATTTTGAGTACAAAAGTTACACTAGCTTCCACATAATTAGGGAAAAAAATTATTGAAAGTTTTGATATAAAGTAGAAGCCAAAATGATTTATTTCTCAAGTTAGTAATCAAATGAAGGCTTTTTACTTGACCCAAACAGAGAATGGCTTATTCATAAAATAGGAATTAAATATGACAAAATATAAAATCATAAGCTAGTTTCTGATATTTTAAAGAATATTTACCTTAAAACAACCAAGTATAATTGTAGATAATTATGTAAAAGACTTTCAAATGAAGTTCTCACACCAAAAAGTGTAAAGCTTTTAAAACAATGAATATAAAACCAACCAAAGACCATTAACAGTAGATGCATAATAGGCAAATGTTTGATTTTCCTTGACATTGAGAACAATAGGAAACAAGCTTGAAATATATGGCATTTAGTTTAAGATATTTAAGACATACACACATTTATAAAGGATTATAGCATTATTCCTTTTTAAAATCAACATTAGTAAGAATTGTGCACTGTCTATAACAATAGAAAAAAACCGTAATACCACTTGACATTGTAACACTGCAGAAAACAACCTACAAGTTTCTCTGATATGCCCTGATTAAACAGATTAATCTTTAAAACATCATACTAATGTAACATCCTTAAATGGCATGCAGAAAACATTTTTCAATATGAATACTTATGCTTCAGTTTAAACTGTGCCTATCCTATATGATTATTTATACCACCTTATCCCTAAGGCCTCGTCTACACATAAAATAAGTGAAAGGAGGAATTGAAATACCATAATGTTTTTAATTGTAGCCAAACCAAGTGCCCTTCTTCTCTCCCATCCCTCCCCACCTAAAAAGTGACAGTAATCATCAGCTAAATAACTGCTGCAGGGGAAATTAATTTAAACTACAAATAACCAGAAATTTATTCAGATTTTGTTTGTACTGTTTTAGTGGCTTTTTTAAAAAGATTTTTCTCTTGAGTTTTATTTTTTAAAAATATATTTTATTGATTTTTTATAGAGAGGAAGGGAGAGGGATAGAGAGCTAGAAACATTGATGAGAGAGAAACATCAATCAGCTGCCTCCTGCACACCCCCTACTGGGGATGTGCCCACAACCGAGGTACATGCCCTTGACCAGAATCGAACCTGGGACCCTTCAGTCCACAGGCCGATGCTCTATCCACCGAGCCAAACCAGTCAGGGCTTTAGTGGCTTTTTAAAGTTCATAAAACTGGGTAGATTAAAGAATGAAGTAGCCAATCTATCAAAACATTTTAAATAAAAGCTATATGGCAAGTTTGAGGTTTATATTAGATATTCAAACCCTTTTTTAATAATAGGTCCTTTTAATTACTTTCAATAATCTAAAAATTTAACAAAAGACAAAGAAATGCCTTAATGTTCTTAAACATTTTAAATGAAAGTGAAACTTTAATTTGCTGGGTATGTTAATAAGTATAACAAAGAAAAGTACACTAGGACTATGCTTTAGTTTTCTTTTGGTATTAGATATATATTACCAATATCAAATCAATCCCGTTATTTTTCTTTAAAAATATCAATAACTGCCCTGGCTGGCATGCTCAACGGTTAGAGCACTGGCCCAAGCATGGAAGGGTCTCAGGTTCAATCCCTGGCTGGCTGAGGCATGTGCAGGTGGCAACCAATCAATGTCTCTTTCTCACATCAATGTTTCTTTTTCTCTCTTTCCCCTTCTCCCTCCCTCCCACTCTCTCTAAAAAATCAATGTAAAAAATATCCTCAGGTGAGGATTAACAACAAAAATCAATAACTTAGGCATGTTTCTCAGGGAAAATGAGAATATGATGATAGCTGACACCTATTTTGTGTATCAAGACAAATGATAACTTAGGGATGTTTCTCAGGGAAAATGAGAATATGATAGCTGACACCTATTTTGTGTATCAAGACAAATGTGGCCCTAAACGGATTGGCTCAGCAGATAGAGCATCAGTCTGCGGACTGAAGGGTCCTGGGTTCGATTCTGGTCAAGGGCACATGCCCGGGTTGCCGGCTCAATCCCCAGTAGGGGGCGTGCAGGAGGCAGCTGATCAATGATTCTCATCATTGATGTTTCTCTCTCTCCCCCTCTCCATTCCTCCCTGAAATCAAAATTTTAAAAAAATAAAAATAAAAATGATGTGGTTGCAACTAAGCAATTTACCTCTCATATGATTTACTTTGGTGGAAAACCCATTTATATTTGATAACATTATAGAAATTAGACTTTTCCAATTTCTTCTTTTGTGAAAGTGTATATAATTATGGTGACATGACTATGGTGGGGACATAAACTTCAAATTGTTATTACATAGTTTCTTGTTACTTTTAGTAACATTAATAAAGTTACAAAATGGAATAAAAGAGTTTGTAGAAGGATAGGCGGAAACACATCAGTTAATTCTGCATGGTGAGATTAGAGTGGGTTTTTCATTCTATTTGTATTTCTTTCTTACATATTTCTACATTACCTATAAAATAACAGATACCTTTCAAGAGCAAAAAAGATAGCAGTAAAGCAATGGTGCGAGCTTACTTATCATACAATCATCTTAAAAATAAATACCTGTCAAATAGCCAAACCACCATATGACAACCCACAGATATTATTCAGATACCTGAAATGAGTATGGATCTAACATGGGGAAAAACTCCTATGATTAAAGCCAAGGCTTTAAAGAATACACTTTTTAATATATTTTTATCCACCTCAGGAGTATTTTTAAGACTATGGAATGTCCATAGATCATAGAATATTTGTGCAATTCCGCTTTTTCTGTAATACATACTTCCTTAGGCATAATATAATTGCAGTGTGGGTCTATTTTAATATAATCAGTAACCTAAAAAAAAAACACTTTTAACAACCAATTTAGTGCCATCCTAGAAAAGGATACATGTAACACATACCCCAGAATATGTGCCTTTGATTTATATAACAGAATTTATCAATTAGCTTTTCCATTTAACGCTTTAAAATAAAATAATAATTTGAAATGTGGCATCCTATAGCTAATCCAAATTTACAAAAATAGTGAGTACAAGCTTTTCTCTTATATATACCATGCTACTATGCTTGAAGAAAGTCTAACAGCCATTCTAAAAAAATTTATATTGAACATTATAAAGCATGTATACTAACAAAATAGAAAAACATCATCAACTTTAAATGGTATAACTTAACAAAATTTTTTTTCGTTTAAATGGCCAAAACATTCCTTAATATTCACATCATAAATTTTATTGGACCAAGAAGCTGACAAGTTTGTTCAAAAGTGATAATGGACAGATTTCTGAAACAAAAATATCAATAGCAGCTTTAAAGAAGCATCTCTTTGTTCAAAACATCTTAATGTCCAATGTAGTGAGAGCTTTCTTCTTTTTCTAGTCTTAAAGTGTTTCTTATGGAAAAGTCCATTTTTTCTTGAAATTCTTTATATGTATTGGTGATTGGAAGAGCTAAACAGTTATTACACTTGTTTCCAACAGGAAAATCCATATGAAGGCACTCAACTGAAGGAGTGGGTTTAAATCCAGCAGGTGGAATGGAATTGCAACCAGTTGCAAAAATAAGAATGTCTTCCAATGTTGTTGCAGATTTACCATCTGAAAAGTTTACCAAAAAGAAGAAAAATAAGTTCATTATATATTGCTACCATCATAGACTCTTCCCCATCTTGACTGGGAATGTTGAAAGGCAGAGATTCCCACATCTATCTTGGGCAAACTAAATAACTGAGTAAAGTGTAGTAAGAGGAAAACAGTACATTCAATAAATGTTTGAATCTCAAAGTAGGACTCACAAAATCACTTAGTTGACCTACTCATTGTATATTTGAATGCCTTCTCTAATATAAAGTTATCAGAATCCAAGAGGCTCAGTGGATTATGAAATTCCGTCTTTTGGGGATATAATATTCTAAAAACAATATATCATACACTACTTCTAGGTTATTATTTGATAAACTAGTTCAGTGACTAATATATCATACACTTACTTCTAGGTTATTATTTGATAAACTAGTTCAGTGACTTTTAACCTTTTTCATCTCATGGCACACATAAACTAATTACTAAAATTCTGTAGCACACCAAAAAATATATTTTTTGCCAATTTGACACACAAAAAAGTATAATTTTGATTCATTCACACTGGATGGCTATTGTTGTATTGACTGTTGTCATTTTTTCATTAGACAATCTAAGGGGAAAGAGGTCAGTGCCCCTGACTAGTCAGGCACTGCATGTTTTAAAAATTCTTGTAGCACACTGGTTGAAAATCACGTAATTAGTTCAATAAATGCAGAGAAAAACTAAACTGTGTAAAACAACAACAATAAAAACTTGTCTGAAAGAAGATTCAACTGAAAGTTAAAATATTTTCCACTCTACTAAACAAAAAGATTTTACATTGCTAATGCTCAATGATAAACATCAGTATCATAGTCCTAACCAATGGATGAATAATTCACAAGTTTGAGAAAGATGAAACAGACAATTAGCTTTTATACTATTCTATGCAGTGGCCATCACCCATATATTTAAAATTCCTAGTAAGACTGCCTCTTACCTCAAATTATATTAAGAAAACATTGTAAATTATAATTTTATTCTTAACCTTTCCTCATCAATTTCAACTCAATCACACAAACTTATTTTTAAATGTTTTGTAAATATGGGGTTAGCCAATGAAAATTCTTATTATCAAAATGCAAAACTCAAAGAAATAAACTAATATACTGAAACAAACATTCTAAGACAGATAAAAATAAAACATCCACATACCCTCAACAGCCTGTAAGTAACTGTTCCAAAACCCCAAAGACTGTGCGTCACATGTGTGTACTGTAAAAAGATCTCTAAGCATTTTTGCAGAAAGATTCTCAGGTTTATGACAGAAGATGCTATAAAATGCTTCTGGATAAGTCTGAATTTTCTCCAAAACTCCAAGAGTTTTCAGACCCTGCTTAAAACTTAAGAGAAGAAAAGTACTGAGAGAACATTCATACATGTGTTTGATATTACAATAGGGAATTAACATTTCTAACTTTATTTTTAAATTCCAATTTACCTTCTATTTAAAAAGTCATACTACTTCTTTTTTAAATAGTTACCTCTTAAGATTTTAATAGGCAAATTTAAAATATAAAGTGAATCGATGTGCAGTAGTCTCGCCTTATTGGGAGATATGTTCCAAGACCAAATATAGCTGCCCAAAACTGTGGGTAGTACTGAACCCTAATATACTATTTTTCCTATATATACATACCTTTCTTCTTAGTAATCAACTTCTTTAACTCTGCTGGAAATATGGCAGTACTTTCTTCATGGGCAGATAGCCTCTCCAGTAATTTTTGTATTTTTCAGTCCAAACCTATTCCGGCATCTGTGTGACCATCCCTTACTTGCAGTAAATGGTTTGGTGACATTTGTTTCAGGGATTCCTTACTGAAGTCTTCATATAAGCGCAATGCTTTCTGGTGCAACGTGTTGCCATCATTCAGAACAAGTTTTCTGTTCATGTCTCCCACCCATAATTTAATACCTTTTCCATCTTAACTAAGCAATAATGGTAATTCTATTCATATAAAATTTTACTATTTGAGAGGCCGCATAATTTAATACCTTTTCCATCTTAACTAAGCATTTTTCACGCACTGTGGCTATAACTTTTGCAATTTGAGGTGCAATACAGCAAAACTAGGATGAATTTTTTTCCTTCTTCACAATTTCACAGATTTGTTCTTACTATAAATCGTAGCAACTCAACATGATTTTTTCTTTCCTTATTGAGGTTGAGAATGTTCGACTTTTCACTTAAAGCAGCGGTTCTCAACCTGTGGGCCACGACCCCTTTGGCGGTCGAACCACCCTTTCACAGGGGTCGCCTAAGACCATCCTGCATATCAGATATTTACATTACAATTCATAACAGTAGCAACATTGCAGTTATGAAGTAGCAACGAAAATAATTTTATGGTTGGGTCACAACATGAGGAACTGTATTTAAAGGTCCAGAAGGTTGAGAACCACTGAAAGGAAGCACATTATGGCTTCTCTTTGGCAATCTGAATTTCCAGTATTATTACTCTTGCACGCTAGGGCCATTACTAAGTAAATAAGGTTTACTTGAATCCAAGCAATGCAATATTGTGACAGTCCATCTGAAAACCATGACGGCTACTAAGAGGCATGGATAAGGTGGATAAAAGAATGATTTACATCTCAGGGAGTGCAAGATTTCTCCATGCGTCTCAAAACAGTGTACAATTTAAAATTTATGAATTCTTTATGGAATTTTCCACTTAATATTTCTGAACCGTGATTGATCAAGAGTAACTGAAACTGAGAAAAGTGAAACCATGGATGGGGTTTGGGAGGGACTAGTGTTTACCCTCTTCCTAAACAATACAAAGACCTTACAACACTTAAAACTAATTGCTCTCACTCTTCTTATGCTAGTTAAAAATTCTTCTTAGTTTCATAAACTCCCAAAGTAAACATTTTTGTACAATTAGTTGCTCTGTTTACCAATTTCTTTACCATTCCTTCTCACTAGCAAACCTCCCTGATAGAATCTTTAACCTCTTGTATCCAGTAACCTTGCTAAACACTTTATAGAAGAATTTCTTACATTATTTTAGGTTAGACAATCATGCAGGCTACAAATGATAATTTTAGTTCTTCTAATCCTTAATAACATTCACTTATTCATTTGGTGTTGTTGCTCTGCTAGGGTCTTCAGCATATTGTGGAAACGAAGAGAGTAATTATGTATATTCGAGGCTTATCTGGCCTTAAGGGGAATGCTGGTAACATTTCACCTTTAAGGATGTTTGCTGAATGTTTAGAAGATACTCGTTATAATGGTATTTCAAATTGTTATTTTAAAATTATGTATAAATGTATGAAATGCTTTTTCTGCATCTAAAATTGTATGATTGGATGTTTTTTGTTCCATTAATCTATTAGTGTGGTACACTGCAGTAAAGATTTTTTAACGTGCTTCCTTTTATAAACCCTTTTCAAAAACAAATACTTTAATCACTGCTATTTTAGACCCTCACTAATTATTTGTATGCTTAAACTTATTAACTCCTTTGAGACATGTTTAAAGGTACAAATAGATTCAACTGTTCAATGTTCCTAAAGAATTTGTTCTTTTTTACACTATTATTAGAGTCAGTTAAGGACAAGACTTCTATTTAAAGATTAGAATCTCATTAATTTTTTGTTTTGTGTTAAAGTCATTTCTTTAAAATGCAATTTAAGATCCTATCTTCTTAATACACAAAAGTCTAAGCTATTTATGTGTCATTCTTACCAATCTAAATTTAGAGTATTTTCCTACTTTATAGTGTGCTTTCTCTGAACATGTGTTTTCTTTGCTTGTTTTTATCCTATTTTCTGTCCATTATCTTCTTTTTTTTAAAATATATTTTTAATTGATTTTTTATAGAAAGTGAGAGGGATAGTCAGAAACATCGATGAGAGAGAAACATTGATCAGCTGCCTCCTGCACACTCCCTACTGGGTATGCGCCAGCAACCAAGGTACATGCCATTGACCGGAATCGAATCTGGGACCCTTGAGTCCGCAGGCCGATGCTCTATCCACTGAGCCAAACTGGTTAGGGCCCATTATCTTCTTTATTTCGCCCCCAGACCTCACCAACCTGGTTTGGAAGTTACATACGCTCTTCCTGTTATTTTAGAACATAACTTAAAAGATACATACTTGATTTAATAACCTAAAGCTAATTGATGCTTCCTCATTACTACCTCAGCAATACAAGTCCCTTAAAACAATAAACCCAACAATATCCATTCTCTTCTTACAGATTAATTTTTCACTAATATTTTAATTATTTTAAACATTTTACCAAAATTTAGTTGTTTTTTAATGGCCAATGTTCATTTTTATTTATTCATATTTTCCCCATACCTGTGCTCACTGCTGCTGCTTGTTATTTTTTTCTTTCTAGGTTCAATTTTTCTTCCCTAAATATGTACTTAATTAATCTCTTTAGGAAAAAATAAACTGTCTCCAAATGTCTATTTCTCTCACTCTTGAATGATAATGTAACTAGTTTGTGAAGTTATTACCAGGGCTATCTGTTTTCATTGTTGACATTACTGAAAAAAACACACCATAAAATGCTTTCGGTATAACTCATTTTTACAAGTGTCTTTTGGCTCAAGAATGCAGTTTCACCACAAACTACACTACTTTGGCTCATTAAGCCCTGTGATCCTCAAGAACTTTTTCTGCAGCATTTTCTATTTTATTTTATTTATTTTACTTCATAATCCTCACCCGAGAATATGTTTTTATTGATTTTGGGGGAGAGAGAAAAAGGGGGAGAGAGAAACACTGATGTGAGAGAAACATCGATTGGTTGCCTTCTGGACGCCTCCTGACCACGAATTATATCCTCAACCTTTTGGTGTATAGGATGACACTCGAATTAACTGAGCCTCTAGGCCAGGGCTTAAGCAGCGTTTTCTATAATACTGCCCTGCCTCCATCTTGTTTATTTAGTTAAATATATGTTTGGGTTCTCTTATTCTAATTTTCACAAAACCTCGTTTTCAATCTTTCTCTGTTATGAACAAATCCTCATATTCCTCTTCCAGATCACTAGTTTATTTCTTGAACTGCCTACCATTTAACAAATACTATTTTTCATTTCCATGATTATTTTTGTGTCCTTTTTCTTGTCCTCCTGTGGGTTATTTGAATTTTTAAATTCCTTTTTTATCTATAGTGCTGTTGAGTGTATTTTTTGCATGTTTTCTTTTTTAATATGTCTACTGGTATCAACATTTTATAAGTCTTACCTCTCTCTAAGTTCTTTTGCCTTTCCCTGTACATAATGTAATTTCCTAAATACTTCTTCCACATACATTTGAACCACATAAAATGTTACTGTAATTTTTGACTCAACTATAAAACATGATTTAGAAAACACAAGAGAAGAAAACATGCCTTTATTCTTTTTATTTTTTCATCCTTCCCAATGTTTCACAATTATCCTATATAATAAAAGCGTAATATGCTAAGTGTCCAACCAATCGGTTGACCATTTGGTCGACTGCTCAACCAGTCGCTATGAAAAGCACTGACAACCAGGGGGCAGATGCTCCAACCAGCAGGTTAGCTTGCTGCTGGGGTCTGGCTGATCGGGACTGGGTGAGAGGGCTGGACATGTTCTGGAGCCCTCCCACAGTAACTCCCCAGCCGGCCGGTCCCCATGGCCCCATGGCCCAAATCAGGGCTGGGCGAGGTGGCCCTGATCGGCCCCAGATCGGCAGCCAGGCAGACGGACGCCACCCATGCACAAATTCGTGCACCAGGCCTCTAGTACCTTTAATAATTTGCTTTCTGTTTCAAAAATTTCTTATAGACTTTATTTTAGGGTAGGTCTGCTGGTGACAAATTCTTTTAGTTTTACTTCAGATAAGAATGTCTAGATTTCCTCTTCATTCTGCTGTGTCATTCCTGGGTTCTGAGATCCTCAGCTGGTCTGCTTTCATCCCCTCACCTTTCAGTCTTATGTTCATTTTACATGTAATTTTCAGGTTTTTAACTGTACTTAACAGAAGTACATGTGGTCATTTTCCAACATAGAAGTGCTATTTGATTCATTTTGTGTGTGTTTCTTTTCCAATTGTTTGTTTTCTCTTTTAAATCACTACACTAAACACTCGATTTTGCAGACCTAGATTTAACAAACCAAGTTTCTGGTCCATATATCATATGTAAAAATTAACATCCTGTTAATTCTAAAATGCTTTTAACCAAGATTTGCTTACAATTAAATTAGCTGGTTATTTTTTGGTATTAATTCACTGTTATTTTTAACAAATTTTAGTGAATAGGCTATATGTTGAAAAAAACACTGTAATAATTTTGTCAACATAAATAAAAATTACACATCTACAACTATAGTTTACATATTTAAATCCAAGAGTCACCAGTCATAAACAGTGTTTGGTGAATGATTAGCATATGATCATACCACATGACACCACCTGTGTGCATTTGTTTACTCGGGGTGACAGGTGATTTTAAAATTACTGTAATACATATAGAAAACTTTTCTGTGAAATCAAACTTTTTATACATATTTAATTTTAATTACATAAACATTTCTACATAAGTAAAAACAGGTAAACTACTTCGTCAATTTTTTAACATACACGTAATCAGACAACCTAGTTTATTATGTAATGGACGTTCGACTTTAACGAACTCCCCCACGCCCGAATTAGTCCATTATATTGTGGTTTTACTATACTAATATTTTATCTCATTCAGTTTGTTTTGTTATTTAAATTCTTGAGTGCTATTCCCAATACTTGCTTTTTTCGATGTTTGTGTGTTTTGCCTTCTATATGGAATGCCTCTTCTTTAGCAATGTATCTATCATTAGCACTCCCATTAGGCCCAGACTGCAGCAATTTCCAAACACAGTTGCTATGTATTTGCTTTTGCCTGGCACTCTACAAGTTCTATGAATCCTAAAATCAATTACTTTGTTAATTTCTTTGCTTCAGATGAATGTACATGCAGGATGCCAAACCCAAGTTTGTGCAAACTGAGGGTTCTGATTTCATATGACAGCTAGGGAATTTGGCTTTTGGTTTCCTTGTTATTTCTGACATCTATAAGACTCTTATGAGTTCAGATACATATTTACAATTTTTTTTCATTATATGATATTTTATCTTTTACATAGGAGGGATTACTCTTCCGCTTTTATCTTGTCCTCTTCATCTTTATCTGCCTAACTCCTATTTATCATTCAGTTTTAATTTAAACACCAATTAAACAGATTGGGAAGCACTTCCTGACATCTAGATTAGTCATATCTATAAAAAAACAAAACAAAACAGAAGAAATAAACAATTATAAATTCTCTGAGTTAGCAATCAGAAAAATCCATCTGAAGATACATGAACTACTTGGGGAAATAAACATCTCTTTCACTAAGAGATGCACTTCAAATTTTAAAATAACCACATCAAAATTTATATTATATGGGGTTATTCTGTGTATTAACCATAATTATAAATGATAATTCTATTCATATAAAATTTTACTATTTGAGAGGCCTATAGTCAGGACATTTGGATACATTTAAAAGAGCTATGTAACTTATTTTTAAATTGCAATATTAAAAATATATTGGGAGTTATATTCAAGTTTATGGTATTATATTTTAATTTGTGAGAGTGCTGGGGAACATCCTAAATGTCCATCTATAGAAAACTGGTTGGAAAAAAAAAAAGGAAACTTGAAAAAAACCCACATAATGATATATCCAAACAACAGAGTTCTATAGAACTCTAAAACAGAATGAGGACTATGTCTATTTACTACCATGGAGTGATCTCCAGAATATTTTGCCCAGTAAAAAAAAAGAAAAAAAAAAGGTGAATGGTATCTTATCTAAGCGAAATGAGTACACATACACTTATACAGTTACCTGCTATTATTTAAAAAAAAAAAATTTGAAAGAATAAACAATAAAAGCCACCAAAATGATTACGTCATGATGAATGGAAGGTAGATGTGATAAAGATAAAAGCTATACTTCTTTGAATACAATTTGTATCACAGAGCTGAGTTCTTTCAATGTACTGTAGTTTCATTATAGATTTGACAAATATTTTACATAACTATTTTAAAAATAAAATTTTAATTAAAAAAACACTAAAAATAAAAAATGAAAGAAGTATACCCAGTTGGTAGTATAACAACACAAAATATAACTATTACAAATGACTTTAAGATACGGTAATTTGACACTATAGCCCTAGAACAAAAAAATAGAAAAACAATTTTAACCTGTTTTCAATAGTATTTGTTATTGGTGATACTGTTGGTATTGTTATTCTTTTTTTTTTAAAGTATATTTTTATTGATTTCAGAGAGGAAGAGAGAGGGAGAAATAGAAACATCAACGATGAGAGAGAATCATTGATCGGCTGCCTCCTGTACACCTCCCACTGGGGATTGAGCCCACAACCCAGGCATGTGCCCTTAAACAGAATCGAACCCGGGACCCTTCAGTCCACAGGCCAACACTCTATCCACTGAGTCAAACTGTCTATGGCAGTATTGTTATTCTGAGACTACTGTTTATAAAATATGGAATATGTCAAGTGAGAAATTATTTCATACTAGAGGCCCGGTGCACAAATTCTGCACAGGTGGGGTCCCTTGGCCTGGCAGGCAATCGAGGCCTATTGGGGGGTCAGCTTGTCAGGGGAAGGGACCATGGGAGGTTGGCCTGCCAGTCGGGGGATGGTTGACTGGGTGAAGGGGTCATGGGAGGTTGGCCAGGTGACCGGGGGGAGGGGCTGCGGGAGGTTGGCTGTGGGAGCACACTGACCACCAGGGGGCAGCTCTTAGGTTGTGCATCTGCCCCTGGTGGTCAGTGTGCGTCATAGTGACTGGTCAACCGGTCGTTCCGGTCATTCCGGTTTTTCAGTCCTAATGGTCGCTTAGACTTTTGCTGTATATATACAGACTAGAGGCCCGGTGCACAAAATTCATCCACGGGGGTGGAGGGTCCCTGCACCCTCTCGCAATCTGGGACCCCTCAGGGGACGTCCGACTGCCGGTTTAGGCCCAATCCTGCAGTGGAATGAGGCCTAAACCGGCAGTTGAACATCCCTCTCGCAATCCAGGACCGCTGGCTCCTAACACTCACCTGCCTGCCTGCCTGATCGCCCCTAACTGCCTCTGCCTCGGCCCCCCACGGGGGTGGAGGGCCCCTGCACCCTCTCGCAATCTGGGACCCCTCAGGGGACGTCCGACTGCCAGTTTAGGCCCAATCCTGCAGTGGAATGAGGCCTAAACCGGCAGTTGGACATCCCTTTCACAATCCAGGACTGCTGGTTCCTAACCACTCACCTGCCTGCCTGCCTGATCGCCCCTAACTGCCTCTGCCTCGGCCCCCGCCGCGGTGGCTTCATCTGGAAGGATGTCCGGAAAGTCGTTTGACTGTCTAGTCTAATTAGCATATTATACTTTTACTATTATAGATTCTAATTCTCCAGTGACTTTGAGAACTAGGATTCTCAACATGAGACAAAGGAAAGTTAAACATCTTATAGTAGTGAATTTGAAGTATCAGTATAAACTCATAATGTATTCTATCTTAAAAACAACAAAACAAAAAGCACTGTATTTCCTAGTTTTAGTCAACTGAAAAGGCCTAGAAACAATGACCAACTTGGCAAAAATGAGCATCCCTAGCATCCAGACTCTGGTTTTGAAATATCATTTCCCATTCAAAGAAACAAAGGTCCGTTAGCACAGTATAACAAAATGAGACTGAAACATATTACTATACCACATAGCAAGGTGGCTCTCAAAGACCATTAAGGATCAACCTAAAAAAAACCTCAAACATAATAAGGCTTATACTGGCAAAAGATGAGACAATTTGAACTTCAGTAAAGATAACTGTAACAATTTCAACACAAGTATATTTAAATCTATGGATTAATGATACTAAAATTTAAAGAAAAACCCGATTACTTTTGAGATAACATGATGTCTGATAATAGTTTGAAAATAACACTTGAGTCAATAACAAGGGTAGGTTAGATGAACAAGACTGGCCACGGGTTGATTGATATGGGTGATGATTACATGCCATACCATTCTTCCTACTTTCAAATATATTTTGTTTTTCATTATTAAAAAATAGAGTATGAGGACATATGTAAGTTTTTAAAATTAATTAAAAGTATTATTGGAACAAAAAGTTTAAAGACCAGTGTTCTAAAGCTAAAGAGCAAGAATCACATCTACGAATAGAACCAGAGACATAGAAGGATCAAACAGGCTGTCCTACCTATGAGGGAAGGTGGGAGGTGAGGGGGTAAGAGATCAACCAAAGGACTTGTATGCATGCATATGAGCATAACCAATGGACACAGACAGTAGGGGGGTGAGGGCAGGTGCTGGGGGATGGGAGCGGCCAGACAGAGGTCAATGGGGGAAAAAGGAGACTTATGTAATACTTTAAACAATTAAGAATTTTTTTAAAAAATCACATCTACCTTGTTAATCAAAGAATGCTCAGTACTTATTACCCAACAGACAACAGGTGCTCAATATATAGTTATTAAATTAATGAGGAGAGATAAAATAGTTGGCTTAAGTAGTAAGAATTTTTAAAATAATTTGTATTTAGAAAAATAATTATAAATTGAGATGATGATTACTCTTCCTACATAAGCATCATATATTTATGCAATTCTATACAGAATGGTCAGAACAGTAGTCTTCCTTAACAGGTTAGTTTTAAAATTATTTAAAATTTTTATCAAATATATCTCACATTATAAGATAATTAACATGTAATTTGAGTAAATCTTCCACATATAAATAACCTACCTTTCAAAAGGTGCTTGGACTCTTTTAATTACATGGTAAGCAAGTATGTCTTTTGCCAATAAATATTTGTCACTTAATGATGTTATAATTCTTAGACATCCAATAAGCTCTAGGTAGTTATAGCATTCATTCATAATTGAGTTTAAGTCAGCTACATTTGTTGCACTATTTATCTGTAATGAAGAAGAAAATATACCCAGTTTCCACTTTCACTTGTAAATGATACTTACATTTCAAATGACACATTATTTAATACTCAATTCTTGAGTACACCAGAATGGAATGAAAGTACACCAACAATTATTTTTCTAGAATAAATACCTGACAATCCAGTTTAATAAACATTGTATACTTCTTCTTTCAAGAAATCTTGAGTATAATGCCCCTTTAATACAGGAAATTGCTTACATAAAAGGCAATAATTGACATAGAACAGTTACATAGCACTGGAGAGGCAAGAGAAATGACCTGAGATTTCATGAAAGAGAAAGAATATCAGCTGAGACTTAGATGACTACAACCAAAAGAGTATTTCAGGGAACATCATAAACAGAAAAATTATTGACCATTTATGTGCCAACGCTTACATATAGGTTAGCTCTTGAACACTTACAGAAGGAGAAAGATAAAAATACAAGGCAGTCAATAGAAAATTTCCTTGCTATTTCTTCTTTCCAAAAAACTCTTCTCCCAGAGATTTACATGGATTCTCTCATTCATATTAGGTCTCTGCATTTCTCCAAAGTTTTTCCTGACTACCTGGTTCAAAATAATAGTTGAATATATTTTGCCTTATCCTCCCAAATCCACCACACTGAGTTTTAGCTAGGTGCATAGCCAAATTTTCCTTGCTATATGTGACTAAGGCTGTCCAATGGGATGAGTAAAAACGTGTCAAACCCCCCTCCCCCCACTCTACTTCCATTTTTTCTCCCTTAAGTGCAAGCTTCAGTCATGTAGATGCAAACACTATCCTAAGGATTACATAACAATGAGAGAATGGAATCCAATTCCCTGGATGACCAGATGTACCACTACTATAACTCTAAAATGAGTCATTTCTGTAAAAACCAGATAGCATTTTATGTTTTGTGCGTAGATGTCTGTCACAACTACTCAACTCCACCATTATAGTGTAAAAACAGTCATAGACATATAAAAATGGATGTGTAGTTTCAATAAAACTTCATTTACAAAAAAGATGCAGCAGGACAGACTTGACCTACACCATAGTTTGCCAACCCTAACCCCTAAAATCTAAACAACAGATTTTAGAGAGAAATAAATACCTGCCATTTTTTTTGAGACACTGTCTTTTGGGTGTCTATATTATAGCAGCTTAGCCTCAGCTCTAACCTATTATATCCCAAGCATTATCTATCTCCTTTCTCATATTTTTTATTTTTATTTTTATAATATATTTTATTTTATTATTATAATATATTTTACTACATGATGGCACAGTTGACCCTTGAACAACATGGGTTTGAACTGTGTGGGTCCTCTTACATGTAGATTTTTCTCTCTCTCAATACAATCAGCTCTCTGTATCTATCCATGGGTTTTGCATCAGCAAATGAGGAGGGCTAATACTATGCATTGTTTTATACCATTTTATATAAGAGATTTGAACATCTGCAGTTTTTGGTATCTGCAGGAGTTGGAGATCCTAGAACCAGTCTCTCACAGATACTGAGAGACAACTGTAGTTAAGTTTGGGCAAACAAAAAATTATATGTGGATTTCTGACTGTGTGGGGTTAGGTGCCCATAACCCCCATGTATTGCAAGGTCAACTATACTGCCCAATGCAGGAGCTGCCATGATGCGCACTGGCCATTTAAAAATAAACAGCACCACGGACCTGGTGCCAACAAACCAACATTTGGCTTCCCCCAAATGGGACACAGACCTCGCCACGACTCTGGAGTGAAACCCCACCAAATCGCAGCCAACATTCCATGGTGCAAAATGCAGCCCACAGCCCAGCCCAAAATGGTGGCTATGGACGCAGGATAATGACATCACATAGCAACACTTGGCTTCCTTTCCCTAGCAACTAGCCTCCTTGGAGTTTGTTCAGCCCAGGATCCTGACTTGCTTTATAGCCAGGTACAAACATTTTACAGTTTAACCAAATGTTTGTGAAGCGTTTCCCCATGCCTCATCTCATTTGATCTTCATAGAAGTCCTGGAGTAGAAGATAGGAGACTCAGTAGAATCCTACAATCTTTTCATTAGCAAGATGGGAATAGCAATATTAAAATATTTCTTCTAATTAATTTCCTTTTAATGTGCACGAATCCATGCACCAGGACACTAGTATGTTATATATTTATTTATCTCCTGTATTCCCTCTAAAACAGTGGTTGCCAACCTTTTGGACCTCACAGACCACCCGTTGGTGACCACTGCTCTAAAAGGGAATTTCAAGGAGATAGGGATTTTGGCTCCCTACTCTGTTTTCAGTGATAAAACAGTACTGGGTACATAGTATTTACTAAATAAACAAACATTGCTTAGGAATACAGAAATAGAAATAGGTAAAGCCATGAGGAGAGTTGGAAGCCTTAAATGACCTAATGAATAACATGAACTTTGTTCAATAGGCAATGAGAAGCCATTGAGCATTCCTGAGAAAGCAATGTGGTCAAAATTCTACTTTTGAATTACCCTGAATAAGAATATCAGAATGATGTCCTAATTGCTTACACACAGACATAATTAAGTTTGGTAGAGTAGGCACACTGAAAATAAGGAAAGGCAAATGACTTGACACAGACTGATAAAGGGAATGTGAAAGAATGAAAACAACCCCTTCTCCATCATGTCTTAGACACAAGATATCTCTTGAAAAGTAAAGGAAAATCAAGCTGAAAAATTCTGGGGAAAAAATTTAGTTCTGTTGAGCGCAATGTGTGAGCAAGAACCAGATCTTATCTTCACACAAAATCTAGGGGCTCAAAAATACAGGTCTGGGAATCATTCAGAAAGGTTATAGGTGAAAAGAAGCTTTCCAAATATTATAAAATGAGGACTGTTAAAACAACACTGAAAAATACCTCTTTCAGGGGTAGGAAGAAGAAGCATTAAAAAAGACAAGTAGAGACAACCAAGATGGCGGCATAGGTAAACACCTGAACTTGCCGCGCACAACCACATTAAAACTACAACTAAAAGACAAAACGAGTATCATCCAGAACCACGGGAAGGTTAGCTGAGTGGAAATTCTACAACTAGAGAAAAGCACGTTGAGTCCGGTAGGAGGAGCAGAGGTGTGGAAGTGTGGAGGTAGGGAGGCGAGTGCGAAAGGGGCTGGTAGCTGGGTACGCTGTTGTCTTTTTCAATTGGGAGGGAGATACAAGTTCCCGACTGCTCTGAACTCATTCTGGGCCAGAATCTGGGGACCCAGACTCATACAGAGAGAAACTGGACTGTCCGGCATCGGGCTGGAAGGGGAGGGCAACTTTCTCACAGAGGTGCTTGCAGCGGTCATTGTTCCTGCACGGAGCCGCAGGACACAGAGACCCAGGGACCTATCGGGAGAGGGCTGACAGGCAACCATTGCTGTTTGCTCTGCCCTGGTGATTCCCTGAGAAACCACCCCACCCAATTTACAACCCCACCCAAGCTGTGTGCAGAAGCTTTTGCATACGAATGGCCTGGCCTTTCTCTGCCTAAAAACCTGTCAAACTGCAGCTGGGTCAGAGAACCCCAGAACTTCCAAAAGAAGGCCTAAGGCTC